GCTTCATCCATCCATCCATCCATCCATCCATCCATCCATCCATCCATCCATCCATCCATCCATCCATCCATTTGGACCTCTTAGGCTAAAACCATAGTGACTGCAGCTGTGTAGCTCCTTCCAAGCATTTCTTCTCTCAAGGCTTCAATTAGAAGCAGAGCAGAGCAAAGTCGAGCCTGCCGTCCAGTTTCCATTAACCACTTAGGAGATGTTCGTAATGGGGCGAAGGAGCCGTCGCTGCCACTTTCTTTCCTCTTTCAAATGCATAGTTAATAACCCAAATGCAAACCTGTTTCTGCAGAGCTCACTGGACACATTTCCAACCCAGAATGTCTTGGTTTATATCACAGTGCCGCATCAAATCAGTCAAGCAACTGGAGTGAAACGGGCTTTGAGGTCTGGACCAGTGATTCCGCCTTGCACTCACAACTAAATTGACTGTGAAATCTTTTCTATTTCCAAGATTAAAAATGGCTTCCAGAAACCTTAACATTCCAAAACAAATGCAAATAGAAAACAAAACTGTAAATAAAAAAAGAGATTCTGGAACGTTGAGGAGCCAACTGTGCAAATATTGTTGTGAAGGAGTCCAACGGCCCCGGGGACTCGGCTTGTCGGACTGAAGGAATGCAGTGAGGCCGCTGCGGCTTAAGCAGACAAAGTGGTGAAAACTGGTTCAGAATGAAGTTCCCTCCGTCTGACCGTTGGCGCTACAGCAGAGGGACGCTCCGGGCATCGAAGAGGTTCTGTTTGTTTTGCCTTCCCCTGTGTACGTTTTGTCCCAGTGACTGTCTGAGTCACCCGCATCCCCGACCACTCCCAGCACTCCTTCTCCTACTCCTCCTCTCTCGACTGTGGGATTCGTCTCCATCTGTCTCTTTTGTGCCTTCAGCTGGCAAAGAGCGAGTTCTCCTTTCTTCTCCGCATCCTCCTCCATCCTTACGTTTCTCCACCTCTTTTTTCCGCCCCATCCACCTCACCATCTCTCTTTCCCTGTACCCGGTCTATGCATCCGAGCTCAGTATTAGAGACGACACAGGATGAATGTCAATGAAAGGACTGTTAGAAAACATTTATGCTGTTTTTGTTTCGATTTTGGAAAATGCAAAATGTGAGCTTTCCTTCTTCATTATACTGTTAGCTCCCATGTAATGCGGGATTCCTACGAACGAGTGAGAGAATGAATGACTGAGAAGGGTGAATGAATCTTTTAGAGCTGTTTTTGTTCGTGAAGGACCTTGACTTTCAGAACTGTGAACACAAAGATCATTGGTTCTGAATCTGCGTGTAAATGAGCCGACGAGCAGCGATCCAGGCTCCCAAACCCGACTGAACCCCTCCCGCCTCCCTGCATGGACGGACCGCGCAAACCCAGGAGGGAAAGCTTTCATCTACCGACTCTTGCTTGGCAAAGTATCTCTCGGTGCTATTGTGTCGGAGCTCCATCTTGTGGACGAATAAAGAAGTGTCACAAAAAAGCAAGGGGAAGAAAAACACTCCGTTTCTTCCCAACAATAGTCCTTCAGGTATTCAGTCATTCTAGGAAGAAAAATACATGAATCCATTTCTGACGACTAGTAAAAGTGATGCTTGTTTTAAATATTTAGTGAATGACAACGATAAAACTATAGAACTCTGTGTTTGTTTGCCTTGTATACTGAACTACGGGCGTTGCTGCAGCAACGTCTTGGTTTCTTTGTTTATGAATTTAATTTTGTTTTTATTTCAATTGCCTTGGTGATGAAATATGTGTTTTGCACCAAAAATGAATGACATACAGCAGGCCCAGAGGAGAGAACTTGCGTATATACCCTAAAAGAAATGTATGTGACCTTTGCCCTTAGCCCTATTTTTACACACATATGCAGCTAAATATTCCTCAGATTTCTCAAAAAGGTCGATTGGAGGTTAAAAAAAAAAAAGTGTTATTTTTGAACTGAGCCCAGATGAATAGAAGCCGAATCAAAAAAGCAGAAGGAAGGCGAATGTTCCATGTGGTTTGGACACACAAGTTCATCGATAAAATGAAACAAAAAGTGTAAAATTGTTTGGACAAATGGCCGCTTCCCATTTGTGTAGCACATCAGCCGTCCACAGCGTGTTCATAAGATAGATTCCTATGAAGGGAGAAGTCAGGAGAGGTACAAACAAGCCAAAACATATAGATACGGTGGTAAACAAATAGGGATGCATTCCCTCGTAAACAAGTATTTTCATTTATGATGACGCGCTATGTTAGAACTGGTGCGCAGCTCCACAATTAGCCGAAACCTCACCGCCAACACGGAGCTGCATTGGTGCAAACGCTTTGCTTTGCAAACCGACGAGTCATTAACCGGCACAAAGAGCCAGACAGCGTTTGAAAAACCCCAAACCAAAGAGCCGAGCTCTCTCTGCCTGCAGCACTAAGCTAAATAATAAACAGAAACAAATATATTGACAACTTATTATATTGGAGAATTACATTTCTATAAATATCTAGTAAGAGGACTATATTGAAGATGAACTATTATTCCCCCAATAAATGAAAAGTGCTTTATTAAAGAGGAGTGAGGGTTTAATTACTCTACTGACCTTCATTTATTTTTCCTGCCCATCTCAGCTGCATAAAACTTTATTTACAGCACCCTCTGCAGTTATCAGTACCCACAGCATTTAACCGTTTATTGCGGTAGTAAAATATTGCACTGAGCAATTTAGCAAATACTCCTCTTTTAATTTAATTTATACAGTGAAAGCGGAAAAAAATCCCACGTTACAATTTTTAGTGCCCCTAACAAAACATATAAAGTCAATCATGCAACTGAAGCATTTGTGTTTTATGCTCTCAAGTAGTTGACTGAAACAGAAAAGCAGCAAAGAGTTTCATCTTTGTGTCACTATGTCTCCATAATGACCGTTAAAATCAAAAACGTTGGGAGGTTTCCTGAAATCCACAAGGACTAAAAAAAAAAAAAAGAAAATAGATGATTTCTCAAGGTTTAAATTCGCTAGTTAAATTAAATTTGTTTAACTAATTTAGTTTTGGTTAAGTTCAAGAACCACAATATGTTTCTTTTAGCTTTTTAGTAAAAATAATTTACGAGACAAAAAGAACAAATTTTTAATAAAGTTTCTATGGCAATATTGTATGAAAATACAAAAAAAACATATTTGCTACATGTATATGAGCTGCTAAGTTTGATTGCATTGTTGATCATCATCTGGAGGCCCTTAAGCAGAAAAATTTATATTTTTTGAGAAGCTCATTACAGATTTTCGGTTTGTTTTTGTAGTACCTTCCTCTGCCTCCAGGGGCAGAGGAAGGTACAAAATCTAAGTTTGACTGACATCTGCCAAATGTAAGTGACCTATTTTCAGACCTCTAATCAGGAGAGACTGAGCAAAAAAAAAAAAATCTTCAAACCTTTGAAATGTTAACTTTTTTAATGTTGGCCAAAACGCTACACAAAGATGGACCGCGAGGGATTCCGCTACCCTCTGAATCCTACTTACCCCACTCTAATGAATTCATGACAGGCTTTCCAATCAGCCACTTCTTGATCTGCCAGAGTGCTGGACGTCAGAAAGCCCCGGGAGAAGGTCGAGGCTGCAGTGTTTGGACCGATAAAGTTCTTGTTCAGAGAGAGCAGCATGAGCGAGGTCCACCTTCGAGAAAAAAACAAAAACAAAACAAAAACAAAAAAACTGTCCCCCAAAACTCAGTTTCTAACGCAGCGCTGTCGCTGCGAAGGCAGCTTTTAAAGACACAAACACACGTCAATTAGAGAGGAACACAAGCAAGACAGACAGCCAGATTTATTTGGATGATTCTATTTTTGTTACATCTTATTAAAAGTTTTAAAAAGTGTATTTAAAGGAATATTCCATGTACGTATTGAATATCCTCTGTTTCCTGGTCCCATCCGATGGTGTAACCTGTAGCTGCACAGTGGCGTCTCACACAAATGCTCCTCTCTGCAGCTATCCAATGCCAATGTGATGACAAATGTTATTATATCATTATAAATAAATTATTTTTCTTGCCTAAGCTCTCGCTGTGTTGCAGGTCGTGATTTTTATTTTGAAGGAGTTAAAAGATTTTTTTTTTTTTTAGTGAAAGTCTCAAACTTCAGTGCATTTGAGTAGGATTTTATGTGGCAGAGAAACATAAAGTGGTAAAATGGAAGGAAATTGTTGTCATTCTTTTTCCCCAAGAGTAAGTCACAATGGTCTATGAGCTGACGATCAAAAAGAAGCGAAACATTTAATCTGTTTGGAGCAACAAAAAAAAAAAAAAAAAAAAAAAAGAAGAAGAAGAAGACTGTGTGTGCTCAGTTTCAAGTGGGATCATTTTCATACAGTCTGAAACGAGGAGTGGTTCACGTCGTAGTGTTGTGTTGACCGGCGCTTGCAGCCGCTTTGTTGTTATTGACGTCTCGCTCCCTTCTGGATCCGCTAATCAAAGATTCGCCGTCTGTAGATTCGTGGTGGGTCTGGGTCGTTCCTCCTTTGATGTGTGAAACACAGGACGATCCCAGCCTGGCGGGAAAGCGCGTCTCGGTTTGTGTTTGTCTTCAGAACATGAAAGCTGCTGGGACTCCAGGGAGAGTTGGTGGTGGTGGTAGTTGGAGCATTTACGAGGCCTGCTCGGCTAATTAGCGTGTTGCGCAGGGCAGTTTATGAGGAATGTGTTTTCCAAATGGATTTTAGATCATACTGTGAGATCATCTTGCCTCTTTGGCTGACTCTGACATGTTATGTGACCCGCTTTGTCCCTTTGGAAACAAATAAGCAATAAGCGTTTGCTCAAGAAGCAGAGGTGGGCGGAGCAAAGCAAAATCTTGATAAACTCGATACCAAGTCGGTATCTTTATCGGGTCTATGCCAGCATAGTAATATCGATATTTTTGTTTCAAATTCCATCTTGTTTTATTTTTGCATTGTGGTCTCTCAACTTGATTTTCTCTCAAATTATAGTTTTTTTTCTCACTTTATAAATAAAAAATGCACACCAATCATGTTATGTTTTTAAAGTAGAATAGCAAATTTTGTAGATAAACTTTGAGTTATTTCATTCAACCTTAGGACTGACTTTTCACAAAGGCAAAAAACTAAAAGGTCAGAAGTTCGATGTATCAACATAAAAAGTATCAGTATTGGTATCAATATTGGTATTGAGGATATGGATCTTGTGTTTACTCAGAATTGTATTGAATCAATACAATGTGCAGTATTGCCTCTATCAGGAAGCATGGATGTCTCCAGATCAGTCTGCTGAATTTCAACTTACTTGCAAGCTCTTCAATTTTCTTCCGGTCTCTACTGCCCTCAAGTGGCCGTCTCTGTGGCCACTGTCTCTGTGGCTGATGTGTACTGAAAGACTCCTAAATACACACAGCTAGATTGACAGACAAATGGATGGACAAATGTTCTCTCTATCCATGGATGGGTTCTTGAACTTCTTCCCACAGTTCAAACATAACTGCTAATATAAACTACCCACTGATATTGACGAGGTTGAAGTAATGATTCTCTGTAGCCTCTGTATACGGATGTTCGTCCTAACCACTACAACATGTGATACCTCTTGGTTTACTTTCTAGTTTTGTAAAGTCCGCTTTCAATTGTTTCATCTGTAGCTATCCTGTTGGGGTAATCTGGCAGCGCTAACTTTCTAAATGCCTCCGGTTCTGATCAGGCACGTGTGAGTGGACACGTTTGTGGATGACTGCTTACACCTGACGTTAAAAATCCCAACAGATTTCTGTTCAGATCTTCTCCACATAAAATTTAACAAGTTAACAATTTCAATAATCTGCCATCACATTATTCACAAGTAGGGTTTGAGAAACTTGCCTCCACTGAGCAAGTTGTCCGAGGCCAATGAAACAAATGTACATTCAGGCAGAAATGCCTGACTAACCAGCTGAGAGTGATTCCAGGCTGCGTCAGACCGGAAATAGATCTACCGAGTTGCGTAACGCAGAAGCCTGCGGGACTGACGGACAATGAGATCAGTTGAGTGTGTAGTGCAACAAAGTGACAACTTCACAATAAAACGCTAGTTTTATTATAGGGCTGTCTCTGTGGCTGATGTGTACTGAAAGACTCTTAAATACACACACACACACACACACAGATAGGTGTATGTATGTGTATGTTAGCCGTCTTTCTGAAGACACTCAAAGTATTGACAGTATTGAACCAAGACAATTCAAAGATTTATTTATTTTTTTACAAAACATCTGAAATGTGCAGCATGAATTAATATTTAACCCCCTAGAGATAATTTCTACAATCACATTTCGGTACAATTACAGCTATAAGTCTCTAAGTGTGTGTTTCTAGTTTGGCACATCTAGAGACTGAAATATCTACAACATTAGACATTACTGATGTCCTCAGCCAGACTGGACAGAGGAAAAAGCCCCACATCTTGTCAGAGATTCATAACTGAATGTAGGTCTTTACTTTGACTGCACCCTCCCAAGACACAAATATGTTATGATCTATATCAGCGTTTCTCAGCTCGGGTCTTCTGGTTTAATTCCAGGATTCTCTTCTATTCACTTCCATCCATCTTCCAGTCAACCACCAGATTCCTCCTCTTAAGAAAAGACTCTCCACAGCACGATACCGCCAGCAGAGTTTAGACCCAACCATCAAGCTTCTGTGGCGCGTTTTAGTAAGCTTGCAATTCATCCAGCACAGAGAAAAACTATTATGGTTTAAAGAGTATAAAGTAAGGTGCAGAAGTTCCTTCGACTGTGCATAGTGCTCCGCTCCTATCAATCACACGTCCCACCTGAGTAGCACTTGACAACTGGACCTGCCGCTGTTGATGAGGCCCTCACAAATTCCTAAACATACAAAATTGAGTTTTAATGAGGAGAAGAAGAGTCAAGGAGCGATATACAAATATGGATAAAAGCTAAAAAGCAACATATTAAAATAAAACCAATAATGCTTTTTCCACGCAACCAGAACTTTAAGTCTCCAAAGATGATGCGTATTCTAGGATCATATTGATTTTGCACATAAAGGAGGATAAACTAATTAGACAAACACCCACAGCTGTTCCCTTTACCGCGGCTGTTGCACCTCTCCATCTATTCCCATAGAGCGTGTTAGAATAACACACTCGCACACAGAGGGGGGCCGCTTTCATCAGGGCCAAACTACCAAGCTGCATACTTCCTGTTTCTGACAGCTCAGAGCGTGCCATGCTATCTACGTCCCGCACACACACTTACACACACAGCAGCTAATGCAGGAAGAGCTGACAGCAATCTGCCGTCAGCACCGAGAGAAACAGAGTGAGACAGTTGTTGTGCAGCAGCTTGTGAGGCTTCACTAATTATCCACTGAAGGTGAATAATAGGGAGAGGGGCATCTGACATGGTTAAAGAGTTAGGCTGAAGAGAAAATAATTTAAATAAAAACTAAATAAAAAGAGGGAAGGAGAAGAACTGAGGTTAGCAAGGGGACAGAAAAATATATATATATGTACTGGAGGAAGTGAAGCCAAAACAGCAAGTGGGAGGGGCTGGGGACTGAAGTCATGTGGAGAGGAGGAGGAAGAGGAGGGAAAGAAACAAATGAGATGGGGAGGAGTGACATCAAGTGCAGGAGGGAAGAGAGAAACTGCAGCTAGTTCAGAATCGTGACGGAGAGGCAGAAGAAGAGGGAGAAGGACTAACAGAGGAGGGAGTCGCGTTCCCTCATCAGCACCTGATTTATACACCTGAGCCACACACACACACACACGCACACACACATATGGACTAATGATTCTGGTGGATGGACCTGCCGCACTCACCTCCAGTCTTCCAGCTGTGGACATATGAGACTCACCCCTGTGGACAGACATGCAGTTCTACTATGTGGTAAGAGACATCTGCTGATTTTGTGTTGGATGACAGTGAACGCATCACAGGGATTCTGAAAAAGCAACTCTTTCCAGGGTGTCACAAGAGAAATAATTGAAAAATAAATAAAAAGATTTTTTTTTTTAAAAACCCTCAGGGTTCAAAGTTGAGACACGAGCTAATATATATTACAAGATAGTCAGGACTTTTGAACCTTCCTTAACTGTAAAGACTGCACAGCTTTGGTTTGCATTAATCATTGTCCATCTGAAAACTAGAAGCACATTGTGAAAGCTAAACATGTGTGAGGGAAAAATAAAAAATAAACAACCAAAAAAAAAAAAAAGTTTAAACAAAAAGTGAAGTGTTGCCTGAAACTGTGAGAAAAGCAGACTGAAGTCTTCTTAACCCACAGAAATGAGAAGTGATTCATCTTTATATATACTTGAGTGTATTTTTTTTTTTTTACTTGTGATTCTACTCTACTTCCTCTGATGCATAAAACCCTCCATCAGCTGTTTAGACCTTTGACATGCGGTGCTGTACTCACCACTGTGATGTGACGTCACTGGGCTCCTCTTCAGCTGCCGCCTGCTTTAAGGAGCCGCCGGAATGGCGGCGGCCGCTGAAAGGCCGCATGTGTCTTCAACTCGTCCATGAGTCCTCACAGGTCGCCCAGTCCGCCCTTCTCCCCCCTCCTCCAGCTTTTACATAACATTTTAGTGTCTTGACTAGCTCAGTGTCAAAGGTTTGTCCGCCTGCGATAAACACCTGCCGGCCCCCGCGCCGCCTGATTTACGGCATTAGCTTCTGGCTGATGGATACATATGCTGGAGTATTTTGTAAATAATAAAAAAAAAAACAACCGAATATTCCCCTCCGGAGAAAACAAAGCCAGACCTTCGAGCTGTTGCGGGCATTTTTAAGAGAAAGCGAATGTCTGAATGAAAATGCAGAATGTCGTCGTGTGTTGTCAAGTTTCCTGTCATGCAATAATTGCAATAATTACGTCACTAATGATTTAAAAGAATCAAAAACCCAAACTTCGCTTTTACGTTACTGTCCTTCCATCAAATTTCCCATATTCCCCTATCCAAAACTTGGCAGGTATAGTGTTGACGGGAGGTGGGATGCAACATTACACAGCAATGTTTGCTTTCTATCGTCTAATTTGTATTCGATTTCTTTCTATTCTATTCAAACTATTTGCTTGTTATTGAGGCTTCACTTTAATTTCCTACTTTAAAAAGTGCCTTAAACGCATCTGGCGAGCTGCTCCCCCTTATGACCAGCTGTGGAAATTATCAGCTAAACAATATTGACATAAAATAATGGTTAGTACGTAACACAGGTAATGTAAGCGTCTCTCCAGGTACCTCAGCTTCCTCCAAAAGTCCAGAAAACCTGTCTGTTGGCTTAATTGACCTTAGGCGACCTCTGTGTGTGTGACTGGTTGTTAGTCCCGTGCGTCTCTGTGTTGTCCTGACTGCCGACCTGTCCTCAGCGGCCCCCGCCTGTTGCCCTATGACAGAGGCAGCCGGCTTGTGCCAGATGGCGGGATAAGTGTAGATGAAAAGAAACGGTGTGTGTGTGAAGTTTGCATGTCCTCTCCACGTATGTGTGGGGTTTTCCCCATGTACTCCGGTTGCATCCTACTGTAAAAACATAATCAAAATTATGACAGCCACACCTGTTGCACAGACTCGCCATTCGTTGCCCAAGGCTGTGGAAAGTCTGACTCCCGTTGGCTTTTTTCTGCGGACTAATGTGGTTTCGTTCAGCTTGGCTCTGTGTCGACATCTCTGGGATTTACCCTTGAAGTAAATCCGGTGAAATCCCTCTCCAAAGTGGTAGTTCAGGAGACGAAATAAAGAACTAGGCTTGGTATTTTCAGGAATATTTAGAAAGGTCTGATCCGTTTTTGATAAACTGGGGAACCAAACACGGACTGAACGGCAACCTCAGTCAAACCAAATCCCCGACTGGATAACAGCAGCTGTGAAAATGTCATATCTGTTTTAGGAAGGTTTTAAAAACTTTGAGATAAAAATATGTCTTATGTTAATCTACACATTATGAGAGCATTGTTACTCACATTTAAAAGTGGCTAAGGAGAATGCATCTTGGCGTAAAATCAGAAAAATTAACTCATGGATTACTAATTAAACATTTCCACAAAATAAATAAATGAATAAGAACTTTCACTAGTTGAGGGAAAGAATCTTAATGGAAATTGTTCTTCCCCAAAAATCTGTTGATGATGCCAATGGGTCTGTTTAGTGTAATTTTGCAAGTATATATTTCTCAACATAGATTTGCGTTCAGCTTTGAATAAATTCCCTCAATTAAAAGACGAAATTCTGCTAAAATGTCCTATGTGTAAGAATGTTATTTCAATAAACTATAGATTTATTTTAACTTTTGTTGCGCTTTGTTTTTGCAAGGGATGCAAAAGAAGCAGGTGGTTAAAAAAATACTGCAGTGGAAAAATCTGGAAAACGTAAATAAAGAAAAGCTCATTACCAAGCAAACCCTTTGAAAATTAATGATGGTATATCAGTCCATCAAGCTATAAACAAGGTTTACAACGCCGTCTCTGTATCTCTGTGTTGCTTCCACTCCTTTTTAACAACACGTTGAAAGTTTGCATGTTTAAACCAGCACAGTTGTTCAAAGTAAAACAAAACAGCTTTTTATTTTCTGCTTCATATAAGAAGGTCCAGATGGTCATCCTCCTGCTTGGCCCAGGAGACTCGTTCTTCTTTAGCCAGTCTAACACATTAAGCATGTGCAGACAGTTCCTGCACTTTATCTGCAGTTGCTGTTCACACTTGCAGCTCTTAGTTGTTGGGAATCACCTGGCTGTACCTCTTGATATCTGGAAATGCCAGGGATGTGGTGCGTGTTGGCATCTGCTTGGAGTGGGCAGAACGATGAAATAACGGAGGAACCATGAGGAGAGAAGGAGGCTTGGTGGGGGCCGTTCTCATGCCGATGATGATGTATAATGTGATCTAATATATTACGGGTGAGGGAATGGAAGGCAACATTGACAGGAAAGCAGAATCTTGCCAGGCGAATGTATCCTCAAAGTATTTTTTTTTTCCCCTGGAAGAAAATTTGCAATAAAGTCTTTAAAAAATTTCCCCTGAGGGATCTTCCAGGCATTTCACTCAAGAGATACCTGGCAGAATTAGTCTATGGCATCTGACTCGAAGAGGTCCTGTCAGTGCTGAGATATGTGAGCTGAAGTCTCCATAAATTGAACTTGATGGTTGAACTGGATTAGATCTGTGAAATACCTCAAAACGTCTTGTTCTCTTCAAAGGTTTTGCCTTGTAGCAGGTAGCATTTTACTGGTGAAACAGAGCAAAGCTGCCACTCTGTCCGGTCTACGGTAGGGCATCTCTACACTCAGCAAACTGTTGGACTGTGTGTTCTGATCCCTTTCTGATCTCAGAACCAACACTAACTTCTTCAGCAGTTGCAGCTACAGTAGTTTGAACCTTGCAGGCCACCCATCACTCATCAGTGAGGCCTGGTCAATGTAGGTTCACCACTTTAACTTTCTTGGACCAACTTGATGGACACTGACCATTGTGGAGTGGGAAGAGTTGAGGTTTTGGAGATGATCCAACCACGTCATGTATCCATCATAACTTCGCTCTAAAGTTGGACACATCTTGTGGCTCATTAAGAATCAGGTCTATGAAAGTTTTTCCCTTGAGCAGCTATTTTTCCTCAGGATCTTCATTGTCTCGTCTCTATCATCTGCCTTTGGCAACTATTGGTGAGCACTCAGCTGGCGCTCTATCATTACTTTTAACAAAATCAGTGCTCTAACTCTCTAGCAATTGACAGTATTGTTTCCTATGGACAAAGATGCGCTAGATATTGTAAATGCACTGAATGGGTAGGTGAAGTGTCAGTGTGGACGGCACGGAAGAAAACACTCGTTTCGAAGAATCGATCGTCTTAAAACAGCAGCAACTCTCTGTGCTCCTAATACCGAGTGTGGTTTTCCAGAGATTTCTTGAACTCACGCTGAGAACTGTGACTGGTTTTAATGTTCTTTTACACAAAGATCCCAAGAATCCACTTCTGGCTTCGTATCCACTTAGCGTTCTCGCACGTTTTTTTCATATTGTCAAAAAAAAACTGACATTCCTGCTTAAAAATGTTTGTTCTTTTTAATCCATGATTTATTTTTTAAATTGGTTTCACATCCCAACTTTGAAATAAATACTTATCATCTTTGCATTACAAATTGGCTAGCTTAAGCTAGTCCCTACATAAATAAACTACTTAATGAAATGAAGTCCTGTGCAGTGTCACTTGTAAACTTTTTTTTCCCCAGCTGAATTTACTGCTTAGGGCTAGTCGACAGTTTTCACACCAAGAGGAGAATTTGCGGTCTAGAAAAGTTTGGACATGACTTTTGCTAGCACATCGATATTTACTCTCTATGAGAAAGGCAGGAGTTCAAAATGTTGTACTGCATCACAAAGGGCACAAAACAAAGTTTAAGATGCTCTAAGTTGGCAGCCGCTGTAGATTTATGAAGTGTGTGTAATGATGCAGAAGACTGCCTTGCCATCTGCGCTCGAGCGCCGCTTGGCCTCAACTTACACAATCAACTGCAGCTAAATCTTAAACTTTGCTGGCGCTCCATTCGCTTTCCGTCTCCCCTTCTCCTTCCTCTCCAGCATTATCAGACAGCTGCATCGCTTTATTCCCAGATAATATTTCTGCTTCGGCCCATCTGTCATCGGGTCTCCGGTTCCGTCTGCTCAGGGTGTTTCAGAATCCGCCGCCTTGCTCTGCCCTGTTTTGGCGCAGCCTGCAGGACCCAGTCGTATTTCACGCTTGTCTTTTGTCTTTGATTTGTGAGCGCGTCTCTGGCACGTTGATGTCTACCAGTAGATTCCGTTTAAGTATGTGAGGATTTGCCCAACGTGAGTGATGGCGTTGGCGTCCCCCGGGCGTTCTTCACTCGGGATTCGCTGGTGGAAGCAACA